GCTTTGAATATTGCCTAGCCACTCAGAAGGTTTATGGTGCCAGAAGGACACCTGGTCACATCCTTCTGCCTGTGTTAGAAGTACTTCTAGCTGGCAGCTCTTCCCCAAGGCACCTGGTGGTGAAACAGCTGCCAGTGTAGGATACCAACCTGTTGTGAGGTCCTGTGGGATTACCAGAGCATGGGCTGCACAGAGTGAGCAGGATGACAGCACACATCTTGCTCCACTGGCTGGTTGTGGAATACAAATCTACAGGACGAAAAGAAAGGCCCTGGCTTTGCTGTGTGTGAGATGTTTTAATTTGCACAAATGCAAGTGACAAACACTTTGGAAGTTTCCATTTTGTATTCTGCTTTCATCTTAATTAGCATTAACTTATTCTTCCAACAAGGGAAAATCCACAGAACAATGATCAAGAGAAGAAAACTGCAATAGTTCTAATAGTCCCCTTCACTCAACTGTTAATATTGTACTTAGAAGGGTTTTTTTGTAGTGGCACATCATCTCCAATGATCAGGTTTCACAGAAAGAAGTTAAATTCATTGTTGTGTCAATTAAGAAAAGCTACAGCAGGATCACACACAAGATGAAATATGCCCAGGATGCCTTAAACCTGTTCCCCATAAATTATGAGAAACACATGGATGTTGGTTCTTCTTCAGCCTCAGCCCATCCAACTGCAGAATCTTCAGACTTGGGTGCTCTCTGTCCAGCTCCTGTGAATTTGGACATTCCCCTTTGGCCTGCTAAAATTGAAGGTGAATATCTTTCTGCAAGTTAGGCATGCTGAAATGCCAGGGCACTGGAGCTGGTTAGTGTTGGAGCTGGAGAGGGGAAGGAGGCAGGGTCCCATGGCCAGGATGTAAGGAAGAGCATGACCCTGACAACTAGCTGATACATGGCTGAGATGCTTGTCAAACTGCAGTGAAAGACAGTTTGCTTTCTGTGAAAGGAAGGTGCTGATGCCAACTAACAGCGCTGTGGCAACTTCTCAGGTGGCTGCCCATGACCCAAACATCTGCTGCAAAAGTGTAATAGAAGAAAAAAGTGACTCGGTCTAACTTGCATCTAAATCACTTTTGTATTAACTGGCCAAACTTCTTGCAAGACATGCTCACATTTTTCAGAAAAACATGTTGTGAAAGACAAGCAGCTCTTGCAAGCTGTAAAATACAGTCACTGCAAGTGGGCACAACTGCAGATGAAGCAGCCAGTGTCAGGAGGCATTATACCCCCTGCCAAAGAGCCCCTCTTCATATTTACTGTATGTTAAAACAAGTAGCTCTCTGCAAGCTCCATTTCAGAATCTAGAGGTAGGTGCACATTGACTGGCATACTGTGACAGTGCCAGTGGTATGATGCAGGAACCCTGCCACTGTTGTTTTGCCTCAGTCTAGCTCTGCCAAGCAGGGGAGGACTGAATTTCAAAAATCATGGGCACTCACAGCTAGTGCCAATTGCAGGGCAAGGTGCAGCTGCCCTGCAGCTCCTGGCACTGGGTCCTGAGGGCATCTCCTTCTTCCCCCCAACAGGTGCTATCTGGTCAGCCTCTCCCTTTCCAATTAAACAGAATATTCTGTTTACAGTGATGTGCACTACAGCTGTACCTGTATTTTGGACCTTTATGCTCCACAGAAACACAGCAGCCATCCCCTAAATGAATCTTCTTGGGTAGATATTGTGCGTTCAGCTTTCCCAAGCAGAAAGCTTTCAAGTGCTTTGAAACTGAATGTCCTGCCATGAGCGTGTTTGCAGCACAGAGCAAGAGAACCAGCCATGCACAGGAGGGCAAGGACTCAAGGACTCTGCTGTGTCACCAGGGCATCCTGGCCTCCTACAGCCCCTGCTCCTGTGCCCAAGGGTCTGCCTGCAGTGCCCCACACTGGCTCTGCCTGCAGACTTCAATAAGCCTCCTGAGATGTACCAGAATGGGATTTGCCTTTGCTTTGTTCTACCAAATGGATATAACAATGACAAAAAAAAAATGCACAGAGAGGGTTTTCCAGCCTGTCGTCCAAGTAGAAAAGGAACAGGAAAAAAGAGAAGGAGAAATTAGAGTAACAGAGGGTCAAAATAAAAGCAAGAAGGGAAAATAGGGTGGAAATATACCTTTGAGTCTTTGGTCCATATCTCTCACTATTTCAGCAACTGTATTATGTAAATCTCAATCTCAGACTCGTTTGACTGCTTCTGAACCCTTCTAGTCTCATTGGAAAGCTATTTTGGAATCACACTCCTCTCATGGCTAAAATCCTTTTCATTTCCAGCCTAATTTTATTCATAAATATATGTCTACATCTTCTTGTGGAACTTAAGCTGTAGTCTTAATTACAGTTAAAGTAGTTGTTCCTGGATGTAAACCTCACAGTTCTGGTTTTATGCTTCGTTTAAGCTGTCTCTATGTCTGACCTGCTGCCAAACACCTGATAACAAATACGTGTACAGATGTGACATTCCCTGGTCAGAAAGGTGTCCCTCTGCCTAGCAGCCGAATCAGACAAACCCTCTCACAGCTCAGGACCCTGATTCCAAGAGCTAGAATGGGCCATCTTCTGCCAAAGCTTCCTCTGGATTGCATCCACCATACCTTAACAATGCAACCACCTCCTTCCTTCCCACTCACACCCTGCCTGGTGCAGAGAAGGGCGTGCAAATGTTGTGCAGGGCTTTTTTACAAGACTCAAACTCCCCGGTACATGCTGTGATACCTGGGCTGGAGAGATATACACAGCAAATGTACTGCCCAGCCACACACCACCTGAGCTCCATGTGTGTGATGAGTCTCACACAAGGAACACCCCAGCCACATGTTCACATGCAGCAAAGCTGCTGAGTCTGTCTGCAAACCCCAGTGAATCATCTGGGGTTTCTGGACATTTCACTCTGGATAGAAAAGGAGTGTTTTCCCTTGAAATATCAGAAATCTTCCTCTTAGATTACCTTTACTTGGTTACAGAAATAAGAATTTCATAAGTAAAAAAACAGGAAACAAGTAGGAAAGAAATAATACTGTTTTAGAAAACCCTACAAATATGAAATTTACCTAATCCTTAGATTCAAGCCATATTAGGGGACCAGAAGGATATATAAGTGCTCTGCTGCCTGGATTATCTGATGGAGTAACACTCAGAAGTACTGCTTGCCAACTGCACACATAAACCTGGTTTATCGCATTCCCAATAAAGTAGATTATGCTTTTGTGGTGCCCTTATCCACATGTTCAATCAACAGGACTGCATTACCTTCCTCGGTGACCTTCACATTGCTCCTCCAAATTAAACAGCCGTGCATTGGTCTCCAGCTCTAGCTGAGGCACTGGCTGCAGTGCGAGTGGTGTGACCTGGGGAGGAGCTTCATGGTGACACAAGGTCAATTATCTCAGAAGGGAGAAGAAAAGCCCAGCAGAAGAGACCTTCACCTTGAACCTGCCATGTGTGTCCAGCAAGGCCCAGGCACTCAAAGAGCTTTGTGCTGCTACAAGTGCCAGCAGGCACCAGAGAGAAAGGGAACACAAAAAGCAGACTTTCCCCAGTGCTGCTCTAATTAAGCAGTTAATTAGGTGTGAACTGAGACGGATGTGTTGCTGCAGTCTGTGGGTTTGAGTGGGTTTCCTAGTCAGAACTAGAGCAAGGGTACAAATTTTGGCTCAGTTGAAATGAAGCTGGAAACTTATGATTTAATCTGGCAAGATTTTCTCCAGTGCTGAAGGACTTTGCCAGTTTCACAGGTGATATGAACCTGTGTCATAGCAACCCATCTCCTTGTTCTCATTTGGCATTTCAAACGCTGTCAAGTCTGAGGGACTTCTGTGTTTTAATTCACCTGTCTTTGGCAGCCTGTGATTTCCCCAAGACAGACTTTAGTTCCTGGACAGCCCCACTCAGAGATCCTTCTTGCTTACCTGAGTTGTGAAGAAACGCCAAGGAGAGAATGTTCTCTATTTTTTTATATTTTATCATGTATTAAATAAAGAGGTATATATTTTAACAAAGCCAAAAATATTTAATGTTTAAGTTTGCAATTATTGATAACTATCTTAAGACAGAAATCCCTAGATATTTTAAAACTTTAGCCATATTGTCCCAGCTGTGTTATCCATAGAGAATATGATACAGCTATGTAAAGCTGCTAACACTGCTAAGTGTATTCAATTATCTCTGCTAGTTTTGTCCCCCCTCCCACACTCCCCATTCATTTCAGTGTTCACTAAATATTTTAAGCTAGTTAAGTGAGTTCATGCATGCATTACAAAAACACTTGGGGAAAAATTTATGGCTATTTTATCCATCTCAATATATGGCATGAACGTACCACTAATCTGCACGGAGCTGTGAGACACTGTCCCTTTTCCTCTCACCCTCCCGCTTCAGGAAAGAAAAACCCAAACTTTGGAAAATGGGTCATGCAAACACAGGGATTTCTATAGGGAGCCCTTGGAACAATGCGTGCATTTGCCAGGCATAGTGGGCTCCCATTGTCTGGTCTTTCAGCACATAATAGAGGCTTTGCCAGTGGGGAGCCTAAATGGGAAACAAATGGATGGACAGTAAAGATGATGTCGGCAGAAAGTGCAAGAACCTCCTTCTGCTTCTGTTTCTTTCAAAGGCTTGAAAGTGATAGTGTGCATAGTAATTCCTCTCCATTGTGGTGCGTGTAACGTTTATATTCATGCTATGCTTGCTAAAGAAATGCTGGCTGTGGTCAGCAGAGAGGCCTGTACACATGCCTTTATCCCAGCAGCCTGCTGGAGTTCAAACAGTATGGAATCCATGTGTGGGGAGCAAAACACCAACTCTCATGTTAATGAAGATTACAGCAGGGATGAAAGCCCAGCTGCTCACCCACTGACAGCGACTGGGGGATTTTCCCTTAGAGCAGCAAAGTACCCAACTATAGTTAAGTTTCATCAGAACTTTCTCTACCATCTATTTCAGAGGTTTCAGAGCTGGGCTGGAAAATTTACATGGGGATAAACCCTTCAGTAGAGCCTCAAGCAAATGTAAAAATGGCTGTTATCTTTTTGTGAAAGCCCCAGAGATGGAACTACTAAAGCAGTGCAAATACACATATGAAAATCTACCTATTTAGAGATGGTACACATACAGAATTGCACAGAATCCAAAGAGTTAACTTATCCCAGCTGATAAATTAGATTGTGGAAATTAGCACATCTTCAATCTTCAAGCACTTTTAAGCCACATTGAAGTGAAATAATTATTTTCTGTTAAATTCTGTGAGATGACTCAAGAAGTCTGTAGAGAGATGATCAATTCCCATTCACTTTCATAAGACTCTTCCCCCAAGAATTTGAAGTGACAATCAGCAGCAATGGCAGTTCTTCCATCCCTTCCTCCATCAGTCTCCTCCATAAACTTCAAGTTGTAAGATTTTAAACACTGCTATTGCTGTAAGTGAAGGGAAAAAAAAAGACATTACTGAAGTATCGCTTTTCAGACCATTCATTAATCCTCAGTATACTTTTGGCCTGGGAAAAAAAATCCACCTACATTAAATCCCTTTTTCCCCTGACCTTTTGTTTCAAAATGTTTGTTAACAATATCCATTACAAGATCCACCTCAAGAATCCCTTGAAACCTGTGAAAATCTTCTTCCTGTATCTAGAGTTGGACACTAGCAGGAAAATGGAGTGTTTTTAACCTGTGTATTCCTCACTGGCTCCACCCTGAGCTAACAGTGATCTCCTGAGGATGCCATGGTGGTCCTGCATACAGCAGGCTTGTAGCCTTCACCTGTGAATCCGCGTATCTGAAAACTGGATTCACCAAAGGTTTCAGAGGGGCTGGAATATCTCTTTCCTCAGTTGGCCTCTCCAAGACAAAATGGTAGCCCATGGAGAAACTGACAGCACTGCCAATGTGCTACCTAATGTGAGCATTAAACCTGTCTTAAATAGAGGAAATTAATACCAAGCACCTCATTTGAATGGCATCTTGTTTGGGATGAAGCCAGGAAATATAAAGGTTGGTTTGCTCTGCTCATCACTCACATGACTGTGCCTTTTGTTTTTCAGCCTGATGAGAGGCTAGGATAGAAAATCAGCCCCAGCTCTGAATTTCCTGGCTTTTGTCAGTTGATGTTACACCCATGATATTATTCGAACAGGGGGTTTTGTGTGTAACAGATAAATGTCGACAAAGCCCTGTCTAATGCCTTTTAGGTTGCTAGGAAACCTGGCTCTGTAGCCACCACAGAAATATCTCTGGCTAGGGGATTAGATAAGCTCTGACTTGTTTTGATTAGGTGAGCTTTATTGCAGAAAAGACAGCAGCATGCTTAACATCGTAAAAATATGACCTGCTTACAAACCCAAGGCACAAGGATCACTTATTGCTCATGATGGCATCCATGGGAGGACACTTCTAATACTTTTCTAACCTGCCAAATCATTTCTCTCCAGAAAAAGCCACACCTCCTAATTAAGGTCTCTCTTGGTCCCCTGGGACATGGGGCTGCTGCTGCTAACACCGTTGTGTTAGACCATACTGAGGTGAAAAGTCATTTCCAGTCTAGCTTAATTTCATGTCTCAGGAGAATGGGGGTATTTGTGGTGTGGTGGGCAGCACAAATAACTAAGAACTAGATTACCTGCCCTCTGCCCTCAGCTCTGCAATTTAATGACTGGGCTTTGAAAATAAATTTGAATGAGTTCTACCTGTGGCAGATATTATGCAACCCCATTGATGGAGGAGCTAGAGGGAGTGAGCCTCTCTGCTGCTGCTCGTGGTGACCCGAGATTTGCTCAGGGGAGCTGAGTCTCTTCCCTTTTTTGACCCTGCCTGTGCTGGTCTATGCCCTGCCTTTGCTGATGGCATGTCCAACAGGCATTTGGGGAAATGGTGGACACTCCATGCCCCCCTCATAAGTGTTTTCCACCCCTTATCTCTTTACTGACAAGAAGTTTTTGCCTTTTTCTAACTGACTGCATTTCAAGAAACTTGCTTCTTGTCTTGCTCACAGCATATAAAACAAACAGGTTATCCCTTCCTCTCTGCAGAGCCTTTTATATGTTTTAAAACAGTTCTCCTTTCTTCTTCAGTCAACTTTTCTCTGAACAAAAGAACCTAAATGTTCTCCATCTATTCTCACAAAATATATTTTCCCTAAGCTCTTTAACTCCATGGTGTATTATCTGTGAAAGCAGGGCAGACATTCTGCAAGCTATAAATGAAACCAACAATATTGAGGTGAAAGCACCAGTCTGACCACAGGCTCAGTCATGCTGTACCTGTAAGCTATGCAGTTTCTGTCCAGGTTGCTGGCAATAGTTTGGGATCATATTACCTGCTCTTTAATCAGGAAGGCATTAAGACAGGCATCTGGAACAGTCAAAATTACATGACAGAGACCCTGGGTTCATGCTGAGGTGTGAGTAGAACTCAGGAGACTGAGTTTGGTCGAAGTTCATGTTTACATATTCACATTTAATAAAGTACACAACTCAGTGTTATACTCTTGTATGACAGATGTACATTGTATCAGAAGAGAGAACTAGCTGCTTTGCTAATGAAGTTTAAAAAGGCTCTCCCTCAATTCACACCAATTACATGAGAAGTTTCATTCACAGAGAATGTGTAATCTGTCCATAATCATAGCATTTTAAAATAAATTTCTGCTCATCAATCTATTTCAGGTAAAGCTATTACAGGAGCTAAAATATGATCAAAAGGGTGCAAACAATCAGGTTCTTTCCAGCTAACTGGGAAAGCAAGTCTCAGAATAATGAATTCTGTGCTGAGAACACTGCAGTTGAAGTGTTTCAGCTGGGAGAGCTCGGTACAAATGGGTACTTTCCAAACCATTCAGTATCTAAGTTAATATTAACATTAGGCATTGCACATTTAACCCAACAGTCTAAGAAGCAATGATCTGGTGTGCCCCCTGCATTCATGGCTGAGCCTTGGGTTTGTGTACTTGTTCAAGCACACCAGAATGCGCTGTGACACTGCCGTGAAGGACACAAAAAGCCCTGTTTACACTGTCTTTGCAGCTCACACCTGGAGCAAGCCCTGGCTCCCTGTGTCCCTCAGGAGCACACAAACCATGACCACTCCGCAGTGCTCTGGGGACAAACCTGGCACCTCATCAACCTCCTCTGCAGTCTGCAACTGGAGGTGAGCATCTCCTCACTCTCCCAACACCAATGTCAGAATGCATTTGCCCCAGGCATGGCAGATGACCACATCAGCATCCTTCTCATGATGTGACCAAGCCAAATGAAGGAGTGCAGAGGCTGCTACAAAAGCACACTGCTTGCTTCTGCTCTGACCATGTCTGCTGCCATTGCTTCCTCAGAACACCATGTCAGTCCTACCACAGGAAACCTCATGCACTGGGGTGCTGACAGAGCAGCTCAGACTAGGGCCATGGAGCCTGTTAGAGCCAGTTTTGGCCAGATGGTGTTTGTTGCCCCAATTATATTCCTGACTCTTAACTGTCAGCCAAGCTGTGACATAGCAAGTTGTTACATGAAGCGCTTGCAGGGCTGGATGTCACTGTTGGCAAACAAGGGCAGGAGGCTGCTGTTGGAAAAGGCTGCTTGTGTGTGTTTACATGTTAACAGTACCCAAGGCACAGGCTGAGGTGAGTCTCTTGTCCTGACCCCTGAGCTGCCCACCTCTGCTGGCGAATGGCTGAATCACACAGCGTATCTTTCCTAAGCACAGCTGTACCTAAACACATCCTATTGATCTCATTTCTACAGTAAGTGTAGCTCAGACATGATACCTACCAGAGCCACAGGCAATGCCAGGAGCATGGCTTCATGCCTAGGGCCCCTCCACTTGTCCTGAGCATGGCAGTGAAGATGGAAGGGGTGAAATAATGGCTTCAGAGAGTCTCATCTGTTGCAAGGCTTGTTAAGGTCCCAGACCTCTCAGACCCAGCAAGATGCTCAAGTCCTAGGTGACAGTGCGCCATGGAGCTCACTCATATGGCACACGGGTCCTGAGCTGGTGTATTTTATGATAGATGGAGTCATGTCAGCCAAGCTGCTCCAGTATAATCACTGGCACCACAGCTCTCTACATGCACAGCCTTTGTTTGGATGAATATGAAGTCAATGAAGTACTTTGGCTTACTGCTGCAAGCCAAACCCACATAGTGAACTAGCCTCAGTTATGTGATGTGCAGATATCCTGGAAGTGCTGAATATGGCAGCCCTGAAATACTTTTTGCACCAAACAAGTTTTTAGATTTTTTATTCACAAGGTTGAGTAAAAGTCCCAAGCAGTCAAATAATAAGAGGATTGGTATAGAGCTCCCCAGGTTTTCAAGCCAACTGGGAGGCTGGTAAGCACAGCTGAGTGAGATTTGCGTGCATAAGTCTAGGGGCATTGGAGAACATTCTTGGGAGGAGGAAGTGAACATGTCCTGGTGTGTGTAGGTAGTGTCTGGGGTGTGCAAATCCCTGAGAAAAACCCTCTCAAATGCACTTAACTTTCTTACCAGAAGTAGCTATTTAGCTTGCTTCAGCTGGGCCAATATGGTTGCATGTAGATGACCAGGAGACCAAGTCCAAGTGCCATCTAACTACAGATGGACTACATGGATGCACTCAGAGTTATGGATTGTGTTCACAAGGTCTGAGAGGAACAAGTTCAAATTTTGCAGCTGTACTGTGCACATTAGCAGTTTTGGCAACTGTGGGCATGCCCTCACTACTCTTCAGATGACAGCAAAACCTGCATCTTGGTGATACAATGGGCTCTGCTGTATTTGAAAGGACCAACTTGACCAACTCTTTGACATATGTCATCCTCCAAGAAAATGCAAACTCCTTGGATTCACAGACACACAGAAAATCAGTGTTGCCTGTGTACTGTTGATGTGCTGCTGTCACAGCCTGTCTTGAGACTCACCCAAACAAGATGCCAAGCACTTACTCCCCCATTTTCCCTCCCACTTCTTGCTGCAGGGATGAAGTCAATAATTATGTGAAAAATCATAGGTTGAAATAGGAACAATTTACTGGAAACAGCAATGAGATAAGAAAATGAACAGCAACAATATTAATAACAAAAGTATGCTAAAAAAGAGGGTGATTTACATGAAAGATGCTCACTAAGCCCAAGCTGACATGACCCCCCACCTCAGCTTCTCTACCTGCCACACTTGCTTCCAGCTGGAACCCACACCCCTTCTCAGAAGTCCATTCCCAGGGAGTCCTTTCCCCCAGCCCATGACATAAGATGATATCAAATAACACAGCGCCTTGGCCATATCCTTCCACTGATTTGGGCCAGAACCAGGGCAGTTTCTCAGGCTGTTTTTGAATCACCTCACCTAAAGAGCTCAGGCAGCAGAGAGACTGGCTGTCAAGAAGTTCACAGCATTAAGAGGGGATGTCCCGTGCCCACTGTTCAGCTCTCCCTTCCTTGAAGTGAGTACATAAATATGACTCACTAACAGACCACATACCTTCCATATAGTTTTCACAGCTCCTAAAGATGGCATCTGACACAGAGTAAATGGCTGAAGTTCAGCTGGAGTCAGTGAAAAGTTTGCCCAATTTAGAAATGGAGTTCTCCTCAGGAACACCAGCCAGGCCCATTTGCATTTGTGAAAGCATATCTAATTTGCACACTTTTAGCATGCCTGCTATTACTTTTGCCACGAGGCTGAAGTTTTTAATGAGATTAATGATCCATGGGTCACTGTGACCAGTGATTGATGAGGTTCTCAGCAAAATCAATTTACTGTTTCTTTCCACCAAGGGTTGCTGCCACCCTTCTGCATCCCAAAACAGGTCACAATTAAGACGATGTAGTTTGATCTGGTTTTCCCTGACCAGACACTTCAATTCAGTGCCTGCAGTTTGTTGACTACGGTTTTCCAATAAGCTCAAGGGAGCGTAATGGTAGCAGTGCATTAACCCACCAATGCCAATTTGCAGTATTGAGTATCAGGATATGCAAATGAATTAAATTAGATCTTGTTTTCAAAGGGTATCATAAGGTGTCCCTTGAGCTTTATGTGCTTTTGGACATAATTTGATACATTAACATTTAATTTCTGCCAGGTGGGGTTCACCTTCCTCTGAGGTAAAGAGCTTACAGAGTAACACAGAACTCATACCTCCCTCCTTCCTTTACTAATAAGAAATACAAGATCCAGTTTCTGTATCCCTTCCCCTACTGTTTTCCTACCACAATGTTTTATAAATCTGACAATAATGCAAAAAATATTTCTGTATGGATCTGTTGTCACTCAGGGACTCCCAGATTATGTTTGCTACCTTGATGTGCTGGTGCAGTTGGGAGCTGAGCAGCAGTGCTGATGTTACTGCTCTCCTTCAAGCCCATACTGGCCTGGGACAGCTGCTTTACCTCAATCCAAACATAAGAGCAACTAAGGGGAGATTTTTGCCCAGTCATGGACTTCTGCTGATCACCTGCTGGAATGGGATTTGGGGATACTACCCAGCCCAGTGTGAATTTTTGTCACGTGTAGGCCCTCAGGACAGTTCATAACCTTGCAGCTTACCACTCAATTTAATTAATGAAGTTCCAAGCAACACAGGTTTTAAAGGTCAGCAGGCACCACTAGCCTTCATTATACCAGAAGCCAAAACATTTAATCCACTAAATCCTGCCTCAAATTCCTATCTTGTTGTCAAACTGGATCATATATTTTCAGGAGCTGCTCCAGTCTACAGGTTTTATTTTAAAGAGGTATCCCACTGAGATCTCTGTGCCCCTGTAACCCTCCTTGTGTGCAACGCCATGTGAGATACACATCTCCATTCTTACAGTTGAGTTTTGCTTAGAACATGGCTGGTTTTGGTTAGAGCAGCATTATTTGCTGAGGGTTGACAATGTCTCTGCCTTGCTTAAGTCATGGTTTTATGATGCAAATTAGACAGATAATACTGTCTGTAAACCATACTGCATGATCAGATGGCAGACTAAGCTTAGTGAGATAGAGATTTCCTTTTTAATTAAAACTGCAACGCTTCTGTGTGGTGGATTAACACTGAAAGGGTCACTGGAAGAAGTGAATTAAAGTAGGATCTGAGCAACGAGGAAAAATTGCTCACAAATGGCCATTAACAGCATAACAACTATGTCACTTACCAATGTATTCTTTGCAGGAATATTATATTATGTTAACCCTTACCATTCCTTAAAGGTAATCAAATGTAATCCTTGTTTTAGTCGTATTACAATTCTAATGTGCAAGGTTAAAATAATAATGAAACCATATCTGTCTTCTTTTGTCATAACCTTCATCTTGACAATGAGACATTTTTGCTTTTGGAAGCACCTGGAAGCCAGGACTCCCACCAGTTCCTGTGGGAGTCAAGAGATCTTTTTCAACAGCTCCAGAAATCCAGCCCCAGTAGGTCTTTTTAGGTAAATCATGATTTTCCTTCAGAACATGTGCACTCAGCAGTTAAGCTGCCATACGAACACCGAGCTTTAATTCTCACAATATCCAGTCCTTCTGGCCAGCTTGTCCCAGAAGACTGTCAGCAAGCAGTGCTGCAACAGATGTCACACACAGATATATTCTGGCTTTCCAGAGGAAAGAAAATTTCCTTTTCCCTAAACCCTACCAAGCCACAAATTCTTGATTCTGAATGATGCAAGCCCACCTTCATATGGGCCTGAAGATTAATTTCTCCTCATTAGACTATCTTTGCTGTTCAGATAGCATCTTCTAACAAAGCCAAGTGTAATAGATGGTTAACTCCAAATCTAAAACTTGCATTTGAATTCTTTTGCTAAATGCTCTGCAATTAGACATAAGCTGAGTAAGGCAGAGACTGCAGTACTGTATCACCAGGAAACACGTAAGGAGAAGAAATCTGAACCATCCTTGTTTCCCAAAAAAAAAAAAAAAAAAAAAAAAAAAAAAAAAAAAAAAAAAAAAAAAAAAAAAAAAAAAAAAAAAAAAAAAAAAAAGCAGAGCAGCTGAGATACATACCTGAAAAATACAAAGGGAACTAAGAAATCCTGAATCAGCTGTTCATAAAGAATAAAATTATTATAATCAAATTTCCACATGCATATTTAGAGATTAAAAATGCAATGTCTAACAATTTTTAAACAAATACCAGCTTTCTTCCAGAAAAAATTGCTTGTTAAAAACAACAAATCCAGTGTGGTTACACATATTACAAAACAGAGCAGCTATTTGGTATTAAACCTCAAGAAATAATCAAATATTTCTGTGCTGTCACAGAAGATAAAAAGAAAAGGAAAAAGCCTAGCCAGGGTGGGGGTAGGAGGGGACAAAGGAAATTAATTGAATCACCTACAATTTCCTCAAAAAGTGACTTAATCCTGCTCAACCTGCTATATGAGACAACCTATAGGAAAACCAAAAAGCCTCTAATACTCAAGCTGCCAGGTCCTTGAAAGGCAGCAGAATTTACTTTAAATACTCCAACAGCACAACAGCATCCTCAGCCTTAGAGAGGGCCTCTAGGCAGAGGCAAGGTTAGTTTACAGCAATAATAAATAAAATGTTGCTTACCCCTTCAAGTACCTCAAAGGAAATAAATTTTTAGGTTTTTAGAGTAACTGTAAACAGAAACTACATTAAGCAGTACAGACTACATTTGAGACTAGTACAAGCAATGCTATCCAGATATTCAGGAATTGGATAGAGACCCCTAAAAGGCTGTTTTGCTGCCAGCTCTCCTCGTATCCCCTGTTACAGAAATGCAGGAGATTGCAGATGCAGGCGAGCTGAGGGAGGACCCAAGTCTCCACCTGCGATTACCTACCCCCATCACTTTCTGCCAGTAAACTCTGCAATGCAGCAGAGCACTCTGCACTCGGGAAAGTGTTTGCTTGTCTCTCGATGTCTGTGCCAGTGAACGTGTGCAGGCAGCAGGGAGCTTTAATAAAGCAAACTGCAGCAGACTGCAGAGCAGGCTGATTAACAGTTTCGGTGGTACTGGGGAGCGTGGCAGAGTACTCTGCTTCCCTTCCTCCACCCAGCCTTAAACCTCATAGATCAAAGCTTTGACCAGCATCAGGTGGTTAAAACACAGTTCATTATTACATCGTGGTGCTTTCTGCCTGCTCACCATAGAAAGGCTGCTGGAGCTGCTTAGGATGATCACATACAAACAGTGTTTACTGGAGCTCAAAACAGTTTGTCTCCTTTGTGCAAAGCCCGCCCTTTAAAATGATATTAATTAAGAAAGCAGCTTTAATGCAACAGGGAAATGGCATGTAATCACTGATTATACCAGCAGGCAAGGACATGATTTACCAGAGATTCAGTGAGAAGGGGACAAATGCAAAATCTTGTCTTTCCTCATGCAGCACCACACAGAGCTTTGACCTACCCCACTCCCCCTCCCTGCTTTCCAGGTCCCACAGGTGACATCTGCTCCACACTGATGTCTCTGAGGGACATCTGAGTTAGGGAGAGAAAAACAGCTTTCTTTCTCCTTCTGTAACAAGTCAGCTGGGGAAGAATATGTGATTCCCCAATCTGGTTTCCAGACCAAGGGCAACAGGATGATGCAGTGACCGAAGGGTGCAGGGTCACAGTCACCCCATCTGCCCCATGGTCTAAAGCAGGGAGCTGCTTGGGCTCAGCACCTTGAGGTGGGAGCAAGCCCTGGCATGGTGGAGATGCTGGGTGCAGGCAGGGCAGCAAGGGGCAGCCTACAGCACGGAGCAGGACCAAGGACCTAGTGCAGGGAAACACTCAGCAGGCAGAGAGTGATCAACAAGCATATTCACTCAGCTGTAGGTTGTTTATGAGAATGAGATGGAAACCAAATTAATAAATTGTCCCAACTGCTATCCCCACACTCCCACTCAATGTATTTGCTCTTCTCCCTTCTGTCTTTGCTCCTGCCCTCCCACGTGAAAAAGTAGTTATCTGTTTATATTCCTTGCAGTCCTTTATAATGCCTTATAAAACCACTACCCGAGTTTCTGGGCCAAAACCCCATTTTGCAGCTGTAGAAAATGCAGCTTGGAGAGGCAGAGTGACTCAGTTGGGATTTTATTGCCAGCCCACATCGGAACCAGCTTTCAGTACTCATCTTCTTTGGCTCCTAAAATGAACCTTCCACCAGCACCAGAACTTTCTACTGCAGCTAAAGTTACCCATCACACTGAATTTGCTATCTTTAGTCCCTTGGTCGGGTATTTGTTTCTTTGTTCTTCAGAGTCCTGGATGTTGCAGGATGTAAAGCTGAGTGTGTACTATTGTTCACTTCAGCTTTGTGCTGATAAAAGAACAAGTACAAAGGAAGGAGAGAAGAGGAGAAAAGGGGGCACCTTCTTGTATAAAAAGCTCTGAAATCCCATATGGAAAAACTCTATAGAAGTGAATAAATGTGATTCTAAAAGCCTATTGAATTTAAGAGAGAATGATCTCCTTCCCACATGGTTTTCAAACACCATATAGGCTGGTGCAGTCTTTGAGCATCTAGGGAAAAGAGATCAGACTCTTTTCAATTCTATGGATTTATCTATATAAAACTATTGCTTTAATTTCCACTAGGTACCTTATGGGAAAGGTCTAGGGAAAAGGATAAAAAGAGAATTAGGAAAGCAATTTTAGTTGGTTTGCTTTGAATTTTGAAGTGGTTGCAGAATAGCAAGCAGTACTATTGCTTTCTTCTGGTTCTCAGTGATGTATTTGTTTACTTTCTTTATAGTTGGGGATTTTTTGAGGCAATTGCCACTACAGTGTTGGGCAGGGAGTTTTTAAAGTAGTGTAAATGCTTTCCTAGATGGTTTTTGAAATGTGTGACTTGTCTAAATCTTTATCTTCACTATATGGAGGAGGTTGTGGTCAGGGAAAGGCAAAGCTGGTGTTCATAATAACTCATCTGCTGGATGAAAAAGGAGAAACTAAAACAATGATATGTATTATACGATTTAATGACCCTTAGGGGACAGAGAGGGCTGCAGAAGGCAGCATTACAAACAGAAGGCCTTTTCCATGTAGCTGTTGTGGGAGGCACGAGGCACAGGCTGTCAGTCTGCCACAGAGAGACACAGCTGTACCAGATGTGTGATGATATGAGCATAATGCAATTCAACATGGCATTGAGGTAGACTAATTTTTCTGCTAAGAATTAATGGAAACTATTCCCAAATTCTCCTGCACATATGTGCATGTGTGTAGGTATGTTATATAAAAGCAGTGTTTATGCTGGATGCCCAGAAGAAACATTAAATGATTGTGTGCACTGTTCATGACGGACACTAGAAAGCCCAAGGGCAACTTTTCTACCATAAATTTATGTCAGTTTTTATATGCTACAACATCTGGGTCCAAAACTGGAGCTAGCAATCTAATAAGACAGTTTGGTTATGAGCAGTCACTCCAATGTCTTGACCCTGATCATCTGCCGTTTTTAGATTATGAAAACTTGGCCCTCTCACTTACAGACTGTACATTTCAGCCAACCCTCAGTCATGCCATCTTGCTAGCAGGGGCAAAGTCCTGAGCCCCTGAAAGTCCTGAGTGCAAAAAATTCCCTGCTGGTGCACGCAAATGATCTGTCAGGTGGCATGTGCCATTTTCTCTATCCTAGTGATAGGTCCCTTTGCTCCTGGCATAGGTGTGGTGAAACACACAATTCCATCCCTCTGGGAATGTCTGTGTGTCACAGTGACAGACAGATACACCAGAACTCCCAGGCTCTCTTTCCTGATGGGATAGCTGGGGTAGGAAAGGCTGTGCAAGAGGAAAAGAGGAGGTTTTATGCCCCTTGCCTCTTCCCTTGCCCATTCAGACAAGCCAGCCTTTCATCTCCCCAGGACTTTGCTTGTCCAGCCGTAAAATATAGATAGCAATCACCTTCCAGAGGGATTGGGAAGCTTTGTTTGGCAATGCTTGTAAAATGCTGTGACTGAAAAGCAGGGTAGAAGGGCAATGTTTTAATAAATTATTGCTAGTCCTTGAAATGTGTGGAGGGAAAGGGCTACTGCAGGAAGCATAGTGGCATCTTGGTAGTTTACCAGGACAGTCTTGGGCTGCTTTACTCCCATGCACACCAGAAAGCCTTTGTTTTTCCTGTATGCTGGGAAAGCTGTTCCCATACCTTGTGTCACTGCATAGCAGCCAGCACTCAGTAGGAAACCGCTGAGTCAGATAACCTGCTGAATCATTTGCAGTTTCTCACCATTTGGATGGCATTTTCCCCATGTTTGTGTGTGGTTTCCATCTTATTCCAGGTCTCTGGGTTGATAGAGCCCCGGGCTGCTGGAGCAGGCTGGTCTCCCCTGAGCTGTGGGCCAGGCTGTCATCACAGGTGTGTATGGCTCTATGGGTCCTGCCACCATGGGTCACCTCAACAGACACAGGAGAGGAGTGATGGTAACAACACTGTAACACAAGTTAGAACAGCTTTTGTTTTACATATGGGGCACTTTCTACAGATATCTCTGGGTTTTGGTCAGCTCCCATGTGCAGCTTCTGCTTTCAGGCTGCCCCAGGTTTCCTGATGGCTTTTGGATCTCTTACAGGCAGGGGCAAACACACCAGCAGAAGGCATTCCCATTCAAGGCCCATTCCTGTGCCACGGAGGCTGCATAGATCAACAACGTGTTCAATTAGGTGATTAGGGCTCTGTCTCAAGCATCATCATCCACACTGCGAGTGCCAATATCCTTGGACTTCAATGAGCCAGTACTGTTTTTAATTAATGATGGATTTCTAAGGTTATTAATTAACCCTGTTAATTTTGCTGTTTTGTTTCTTAGACAGAAAATCTGAATGAAAGTCTCTGGACCTTTTCCTGTCTGCAGCAACACGCAGCTGTGCCCTTGGGAGGTGGTGTCATGGGTTTGTGCTCTGGCTCTTATCAAAGCAAGCACACTGGTATCCATTGCTTTGGTATTCACCTCTTTTCTTACCTTGACAGGTCTTATGAAAGGCACTGATGAAGCATTTGCCAGCTCCTTTCATGCACTCTGACAGAGTCACGGTGTGTCACAGTGTGAGCTTGTCTTCCCACCTCTTTGCCCCTCTGATGTTTCACTATCTGCCTCCAAAGGCAAGGGTTTTATTCTCAGCATGCATATTACTGTCTCACTCTTGGTAAACTCCAAAGGATGTCTGTGTATCTCATCATACAACCTGACACTTTATCCTTCCCAGACACTGTTCTGTTTCATTAATATGTTTCTCACTACTGCCAGAGCCCAGTAGAGTTGTAGGAACAGTGACCAGAGAGTGCAAAAGGAGATTTATTTTATGTGTGACTTTATGGCATTGAATAGCTTTATGTATCATCTCTCTTAGCACTTCCTCTCAGGCTGCTGCTGGTGGGACATGTTCTGTCTGACTCCTGCATCAGCCACACTGTCTTGATTTCCACTTAAATCAGTCTAGTACCACTTTAACCCTGGCAGCCTTTGAAATCAGGATTTGGATGTGGAACAATAGGCGGAATTTATACTGCAGTTTTCATCTTCACAGCAATTTTCAAACACAAATGAATCAATCTTTAATGGTCCCTTATGTGGGACGTGACAAAAGACTGCCAGCCCAATTTTACAGACTGGGCTCAGAAAACCTCAGGGATTTGCTGAAAGCCACAGAAAAAATATGGCCCAAACTGCAAAAGAACAAATGAGTTTGTATACCAATTTTTTACGTCCACATCATGTTCCCAGACCTTTAAACTACAAGGCACTTTATTTTCTGGGTCTTGTATTACATTAACAGCAGAACCAGGATATTTGCAGCCACCTCACTGTGTCAATGATATTCACTGATGTAACATAGCCTTTCCATGGAAAGGGAAATGAATTATTGCAAGTTATATGGCATATGATGACCCAATGCCTGGCAATGTGGAGTGCCTTGGTGGAGTGCAGGATGTACTCGAGGTGGTACACTGGGAAAGGTCTTTGTGTGGAAAATGATGCCTCAGGCATTGGAAACACATTCTCTTCCTCCCCCACCATTAC